GTGCCTCTCTGTCTCTGTCTGTCTGTGTGCCTGTCTGCTACCTGTCCATCCGTCCGTCTCTATATCTCTCTCTCTTCTTTCCAAAGCAATTCAGAATTCCTCTCCGCTTTAACATTCCCAGAAGTTAAAGCCGAACTTTGAAAATAATATAATACAATCAACAGGACAAATCACATTCATGGAGGCACGGATGGTGATGATAATGATGGCGACAACAGGTACGAAGAAGACCTATTACACAGGGATAATATACAGCTAGTAAAGCGTTTACACGATAAATTATTTTCAAAAATCCTCCCCACTCCGCGTCCCCTTCCCTCTCCCCTTACCCTTTCGTCACCCTGTCACCCCTTTCCATTTCCCCTTACACATCCCTGTCCTCTCTTCCTCTCTCCCTACCCCCCTTCCCCCTTCTCCCCCCAACCCTCATTTACTCTCCTCCTATTCCGTACCCTTTCCCTATCCCCCTCACCACCCTACTTCTCCCCCCTCTCCCCTCAACCCCTACTTCTACCTCCGACCCCTCCCCTCAATTATTTACTCCCCCACCCCTCCGACCCCTCCCTTCACCCCTACTTCCCCAACCCCTCCACAGCCCTCACCCCCTACTCCTCACCCCCCTCAAACCCCTCCACTCATCCCCCCCCTCAACTCCCCTCACCCCTTACTCCTCCCCCTCCAACCCCTCCCCTCATCCAACCCCCTCCCTCCCTTCACCCCTACTTCCCCCCCCCTTACTCCCCTCACCCCCTTACCCCACCCCTCCACTCCCTCACCCCTACCCCTTCCAACCCCTCCCTTCACCCCCTACTTCCCCCAACCCTCCACTTCCCCTTACCCCCTCCACTCCCCTCACCCCCTCCACTCCCCTCCCCCCTTACCCCCTCCACTCCCCTCACCCCTCACCCCTACTTCCCCCAACCCCTCCACTCCCCTTACCCCCTCACCCCCTTACCCCCTCCACTCCCTCACCCCCTCCAACCTCTCCCTTCACCCCCTACTTCCCCAACCCCCCACTCCCCTCACCCCCTTCCCGCACGTTGACGAGCTCATCCAGCGCCGCGAGAGCACATCAGTCGTCGCCGTAAACAAGGCACGTCGTTGCTCAGTGCGTTGCCATGACGACGACGACGCCGGGTTACGAAAGCGAGCGCACGACGGGTTCTCTCTGCCCTTCCTCCTCTTCCTGGTACGGGCGTTGGGCGTGGTCTGGGCGTGGGCGTGGGCGTGGGAGTGGGTCCTGGGGGAGTGGGCGTGGGTCTGGGAGTGGGCGTGTGGGTCTGGGCGTGGGGCGTGGGTCTGGGCGTGGGCGTGGGAGTGGGCGTGGTCCGTCGCGAAGTCGAAAACGTTTGCGCGAAATTGACCAGCCGGGGAATTCGTCGCGTGGGGAAGTAAATAAACGCAACTTGCGTCAGAGAGCGATGAGGGACAATGCAAAGAGTGGTGTGTGTGTGTGTGTGTGTGTGTGTGTGTGTGTGTGTGTGTGTGTGTGTGTGTGTGTGTGTGTGTGTGTGTGTGTGTGTGTGTGTGTTGTTGTTGGTGTGTGTGTGTGTTGTAGTGTGTGTGTGTGTGTGTGTGTGGTGTGTGTGTGTTGTGTGTTGCATCAATCCAATCAAGACAGAAATAGAGTTAAAACTAGACACGTGAGGGATATAAAAATGGAACACCAAGACTTGATAAGAAAGAGGAAAAAGGACAAAAGACAACAGACGAGGAACGGGAAGCGAGGCGGAAAGAGCGCCGCACAGCGCCAGCGGAGGAGCCCGCCGAACTTTGACTTGGCTTGACAAAAGAACGTTTTTGGAAAATTAAATCCCCAACGCAAAGCGGGGGGAAGTATGTTGCTGGTGAAAAAAAAAGAAAATAAATACGTGGGTAGTGGGCATTCCGCACGAATCAGTGGCGTATTAACAGCAAAAAAAAGAAAATTAAACAAACAAATTCGAACCAAAGACAATAACAACACAAACAAAAACCATAACAAGTATCAACATCGCAATTCCCATCCTCACAACAACAGACGCAACAACAGCAGCAGCATCTGTAACATCATCACTAACATCACCACGATCACCACCAGCACGTTCAACTGCGGCGGCACAATTCTACGGACGGCGCCCGCCCTGTTTCAACCACTCACGCTAATGAAAATGGACGACCATAAAAGGACGTTCAGACACAGTGAAAATAATAATGATGTCATAAAACAACGCCAATTCGCAGCAACAAAAATGCTAGAATAATAATAATAATAATAACAAATGATGAAAATGACAAACAAGATGAATAATTCACAGAGAAGGAGCCGAACAAAATAAATCAAAATAAGAATCAAGAATATCGAAGACGAAGAAAAAATCAGAAAATGCTAAGTAAATATGAAACTGATAACGATTTCAAAAGCAACAATCGACAAATAAGAGTTCAAATATCTGAAATCATACAAGCAAAAAAATACAACTGAATTTACCAATGATAAACAAAAGTCGTAGTAGTTGTA